AAATTATTATGAGTGCTCAGAAGAGAAAAAGAAAGCACCGCATGTTATGAGGAGCCAGGCGGGGCTAGTGTGTTCCAGTGAGGAGTGAGGAAGATCACTTGAGCTCAGGAGTTCGAGACCAGCCTGCCCAAAATGGTGAAACTCTTGTCTCTACTAAAAATACAAAAATTACCTGGGCGTGGTGGTGTGCGCCTATAGTCCCAGCTATGCAGGAGGCTGAGGCAGGAGAATTGCTTGAACCTGGGAGGTGGAGGTTGCAGTGAGCCAAGATCGCGCCATTGCACTCCAGCCTGGGCGACAAGAGCGAGACTCTGTCTGAAAAAAAAAGAAGTGGGGGAAAGAAAAGGGAAGTGGGGCTTGCGGAGAGGCTGGGGCCACTGCTGCTTGCCTTGGAATTGAGGAGACCTGGGTCTGTCTTCAGGCTACGAATAATTGAGAGGAAGAGTTCGAGGCTAGTAGCTGATCAGGAGTGACATGGATGGACTGCTTTTTATGAGGCCAAGGAGTTTATGAGTGTCACAACAGCTTTGCAAGGTGGGACAGTTAACTCCGTTGTGTAGAGGAGAACATCCAGCTGCAGAGAAAATCATGATGTGGATAATTCTATTCCTCTCCCCATTCCCACTGTCATGTGATCACCCATTCCCTGTGCCTGCAGTAGTGCCAGGCAGATAGTAGGATCTCAGCAGATATTTGCAGGATAGCATTGGTTATTGATTAGGAGCAGAGGCCCTGGAGGCAGAGTGCTGGGTTCAAATCCTGCCCTTCCCATTTTCTCCATACAGAGAAAGTGGAAGTACAGAGCACTTCCACTTGCCCCATTACTCAAACCGGGATCTATAGAGACAGTATTGGCTCTTCCCACTTCTTTTTTTGAGACGGACTCTCGCTCTGTTGTCCATGCTGGAGTGCAGTGGCGCCATCTTGGCTCACTGCAAGCTCTGCCTCCCAGGTTCATGTCATTCTCCTGCCTCAGCCTCCCAAGTAGCTGGGACTACAGGCGCCCACCACCACGCCCGGCTAATTGTTTTTTTTTTTTTTTTTTTTTTTTTGTATTTTTAGTAGAGACGGGGTTTCACTCTGTTAGCCAGGATGGTCTCCATCTCCTGACCTCGTGATCTGCCCGCCTCAGCCTCCCAAAGTGCTGGGATTACAGGGGTGAGCCACCGCACCTGGCCCTTTTTTTTTTTTTTTAAAAGAGGGCTTTGCTGTGTCGCCCAGGCTGGAGTGCAGTGGTGCGATTTTGGCTCACTGCAGCCTTGACAACCCAGGTCCTCTCACCTCAGCCTCCCAAATAGCTGGGACTACAGGTGCGTGCCACCATGCCCTGCTATATTGTATTTTGTAGAGATAGGGTTTCACTATGTTGGCCAGGCTGGTCTTGAACTGAGTTCAAGTGATCTGCCTGTCTTGGCCTCCCAAAGTGCTGAGATTATAGGCGTGAGCCACCATGCCCAGCCTCTTCCCACTTTTTTTTTTTTGAGATGGAGTCTCGCTCTGTAGCCCAGGCCAGAGTGCAGTGGCATGATCTTGGCTAACTGCAACCTCCACCCGCGCCCTCCCCCCCCACCCGCCCCCATCCCAGTTCAAGCAGTTCTCCTGCCTCAGCCTCCAGAGTAGCGGGGATTACAAGAATGCACCACCATGCCCAGCTCATTTTTATATTTTTAGTAGGAACGGGGTTTTGCCATGTTGGCCAGGCTGGTCTTGAACTCCTGACCTCTTGATCCGCCTGCCTCGGCCTCCCAAAGTGCTGGGATTACAGGCATGAACCACTGCGCCCGGCCTCTTCCCACTTCTTAACACACCTCCTCTGAGCACACCTCAGCAAGTCCTGTCCCTTCTAGCTCTGAAACTGATCCAGAAATAACCCATTCCACTTTTACACCCCCAGTCCTGTCTGCTGTGGTCTCCCACCTGGACTGCCCCAGCAGCCTCCTCTCTCCCTTCCCTGCTCACCCCTCATCTGTTCCCCATATGAGGCCACAGGGACCTTTTAAAATCTTTTGAAACCTGGCTCTCATACTATGACTTTGGGCAAGGGCCTGAGCCTCTTTAGGGCTTGCTTTTCTCATGTAAAATGGGGATGATGATAGCATTGACAATTGGCAGAAACAGGGTGGTTGTGAAGATGAAATGAGTTCATCCACAGGATTATTGTAATATTTATCAGGCACAGCAGGGCTGGACTCCTGCTCTGCCACTCACTCAGTTTGGCCCTTTGCACAAGTCATTTTAGCTGTCTGGGCCTTGGTTTCCACACCTGTAAACTGGGGGTGGTCATTTATTCTTTTTTTTTTTTTTTTTGAGACAGGGTCTCACTGTGTTGTCCAGGCTGGAGTTCAGTGGTGCAATCTTGGCTCACTGCAACCTTTGCCTCCCAGGCTTAAGCGATCCTCCTACCTTGGCCTCCCGAGTAGCTGGGACCACAGGTGTGAACTACCACGCCTAGTTAATCTTTCTATATTTTGCAGGGATGGGGTTTCGCCATGTTGCCCAGGCTACCTTTTATTCATTGATCAGATTTTTATCAAGCGCCTACTCTAACCCTGTGCAAGGGGCTGGGGACTCAGCTGTGAACGAGATCAAGATCCCCATCTTGGGGGACTCACATTCGAGTGGGGGAGACAGTGAACAAAATAAGACAGCCAGCATGTCAGCTGGTGCTGAGTTCTAAGGCTATCAGTGAAGCAAGGCAGGGGGTGGGGAGTGCCACGAAAGGAGGTATGGTTGTAGACAGGATGGCTGGGGAAGGCCTCACTGAGCAAAGCCCTCGAAGAGGAGAGGAGGGAGCCCTGAGGACGTTGGAGGAAGAGCGTTGCAAGCAGAGGCACAACTGGTGCAGAGGCCTTGAGGCAGGCACCTTCCTGGTGCGTTCAGTGAGCACTGGGAGGCGCAGGTGGCTGGAGTCAAGTGATTGAGGGGGAGCATGGGAGATATGGACAGAGGCCTTGTGTAAAAGGCTTGGGACAGGATTTTGTACCCAATAGCCCCTCCTCCCCCCCGTATGTAGTAGCTTCTGAGATAATCATCATCAGATAAGTGGATGGGTGGGTGGGTGAATGGATGGTTAGATGGATGGATGATGGATGGGTGGATAGATGAATGTGTTGGTGGATGGATAAATAGCTTGGTGAGTGCATGGATGGATGGATGGATGGACGGATGGATGGAAAGATGAAAGCATCAGTGGATGGATAGTTGGCTAGATGTGTGGGTGGATGGGTGGGTGGATGGATCAATGGATGGATGGTTGGATGGATGGATGGATAGATTGATGAATGGGTTGGTGGATGGATAGATAGCTTGGTGAGTGGATGGATGGATGGGTGGATGAATGGACAGACAGATGAATGCATCAGTGGATGGATGGCTGGCTGGCTGGCTGGCTGGCTAGATGGATGGATGGCTGGGTGGATGGATGGATGATGGATGGATGGGTGGATAGATGAGTGGGTTGGTGAATGGATAGATAGCTTGATGAGTGGATGGATGGATGCATGGATGGATGGATGGATGGATGGATGGATGGATGAATGAATGGATGGAAAGATGAATGCATCAGTGGATGGATAGTTGACTAGATGGATGGGTGGATGAATAGGTGGATGGATGGGTGGGTGGATGGATGGATGGATAGATGGGTGGATGGATGGGTAGGTGGATGGATGGGTGAGTGGATGGATGGATGGGGGTGGGGGGTGGATAGGTGGATGGATAGATGGATGGATGGGTAGGTGGGTGGATGGATGGATACATCAGTAGATGGATAGTTAACTAGATGGGTGGTGGATAGATATATGGATGAGTGGATGGACAGATGGGTGGATAAATGGATGGATGGGTAAGTGGATGGATGAATGGATGGATGGATGGGTAGGTGGATGGATGAATGGATGGACTGATGGGTGGGTGGGTGGATGGATGGATGGGTAGGCAGATGGATGAATGGATGGATTGATGGGTGGGAGGGTGGATGGATGGATGGATGGGTGGGCGGATGGATGAATGGATGGATTGATGGGTGGGAGGGTGGATGGATAGATGGTGGATGGATTGATGGGTGGGAGGGTGGATGGATAGATGGATGGGTGGATGAATGGATGGACAGATGAATGCATCAGTGGATGGATAGTTGGCTAGATGGGTGGGTGGATGGATGGATGGATAGGTGGATAGATGGATGGATGAATGGATGGGTGGATGGATGAATGGGTAGTTGGAAGGATAGATGTGGATGGGTGGGCGAGTGGGTGGGTGGGTGGATGGATGAGTAGATGGATGGGTGGGTAGATGAATGGATGCATAGATTAGTGTATCAGTGGATGGATAGTTGGCTAGATGGGTGGGTCGATGGATGAATGGCAGAGGCTGCACCTGCCAGTCCATCTGATGTCAAAGCTAGTGTCTCTAATGGTGACACCACCCTCCTCTCAATAGGAGCAGGAGGCAGAACTGTAGGATGAATGAGGCTCACCAGGCCTCCCTTACCTATCCTGGAACCCCAGTGTCTCCCCACCCTCTTCCCTTGCAGCCTCAAAGCGGAGGATCCCTGTGTCCCAGCCGGGCATGGCCGACCCCCACCAGCTTTTCGATGACACAAGTTCAACCCAGAGCCGGGGCTATGGGGCCCAGCGGGCACCTGGCGGCCTAGGCTATCCTGCAGCCTCTGCCACGCCCCAGGCAGCCTTCCTGGCTGACCCAGTGTCCAACATGGCCATGGCCTATGGGAGCAGCCTGGCCGCGCAGGGCAAGGAGCTGGTGGATAAGAACGTAAGTGGCCGGGGCTGGCGGGAGTTGGGGGACGCACGGGGCCACGGGCACTCAGGCTTGAGCTCTGCCTCCCCAGATTGACCGCTTCATCCCCGTCACCAAGCTCAAGTATTACTTTGCTGTGGACACCATGTATGTGGGCAGAAAGCTGGGCCTGTTGTTCTTCCCCTACCTGCACCAGGTCAGCACCCCCAGGGGAATGTGGGTCTGCGGTGGGCCTGTGGGGGCTCAGGGGTGGGGGCAGGTGTGTGGTGGGGCCAGGAGATTCACCTCGAGGGAGGAGGGCCTGTAGCAGGGTAGGAGGGACCTGGTTCTGAGGGTCCTGCCCATCTCCCCATCCCCGCAGGACTGGGAGGTGCAGTACCAACAGGACACCCCGGTGGCCCCCCGCTTTGACGTCAATGCCCCGGACCTCTACATTCCAGGTTTCACCCTCCCTCTACCCTGCACCCTCCTCTCTCTTCCGGGCCTGTCTGGGGTGGGTGTGTGGGTGTCTGGAGGCCCAGGGCAGTTCTTCTTCTGGTGACCAGTGTCTGTGTGTCTGCCTCCCACAGCGATGGCTTTCATCACCTATGTTTTGGTGGCTGGTCTTGCGCTGGGGACCCAGGATAGGTAAGGGCGGCCTGGGGCAGGCCGAGTAGGGTGGGGTTTGGGAGGCCCATGGTTGGTCAGGAAGGTTTCAGTTCCAAGGTCTCAGTTCCCCTCTCAGGACAGCCCCACCTTGCTCCCAGTTGGCCCAAGATACAGCCCTCAGGGTCACCATCAGCATCACCCTCGCCTCTTCCCTCTCCTTCCTACCCATGTGCATTGTGTCACCACACCCTGTGCTGGGCGACCCTCTCCATCCACCCTTCCTCTTGGCCTCTGCTACCAGACCCATCCTCATCCTTGCTCTGTCGTCACCAGCTCCCCATTGCACCCCTACTCCAGCAGCAGCCAGGACGGTCCTGTCTGAGGTGTGAGCCTGGCCACAGCCCACCCTACTCCACCCTACTATCCATGGCTCCCGATCAAGCCTCAGCTCCTCAGCCCCGCACTGCCCCTCCCGTTGCACGCTTCTGTCCGCTCCTTTCCTCAGGAGGGCTGGCGCTGTCTCCTGGGGCCTTGTCACATCAACTTCCCTCTGCCCGGGAGCGTGTTCCCCTCCACTACTGCCGAGTACCTGTGCATTCCCGCTGGCTCCATTCCAGTGTCACCTCCTCCAGGAAGCCTTCCTGCCCCCCAGGCTAGGTCAGGCCCCTCCTCTTGCTCATACTGCCCTGTTCTTTTCCTTTGTGACATTGAACACATCTGTCATTAACTAACTGGTGAGGCCCTGGGGATATGGCAGAGGCCGAAGGCTTTGTCCCTGACCAGCTCCTTCCTGCAGGCCTCAGCTTGGTGTCCCCTCTCCTGGGAAGCCCCCTCTGACACCTGCCTCCTGACTGTCAGGCACAGCCCCCTGTGACTCCAGCCCTGCCCGCTCTGGGTGTCACTGTCTAGGGATGGGTCTGCCGTCCTCCCTGGATGGGATTTCCATGAGAATAGGATAGCGTGCAGGTCCATCTTGGTCACTGCCGGGTGTCCAGCGCTACCCAACGCAGGGCTGTCCCCAGGCGGGTGCTGGGGGTGGGAGGTCTGAACCAGCCAATCAAGTGGCGGGACTTGGTGCCTGCAGGTTCTCCCCAGACCTCCTAGGGCTGCAGGCGAGCTCAGCCCTGGCCTGGCTGACCCTGGAGGTGGTGGCCATCCTGCTCAGCCTCTATCTGGTCACTGTCAACACCGACCTCACCACCATCGACCTGGTGGCCTTCTTGGGCTACAAGTATGTCGGGTGAGTACGCCCGCCCTTCATGCCAGCCCCAGCCTTTGGGCCTTGTCCTCACACAGCCTTCTCTCCCTCCCCCAGGATGATTGGCGGGGTCCTCATGGGCCTGCTCTTCGGGAAGATTGGCTACTACCTGGTGCTGGGCTGGTGCTGTGTGGCCATCTTTGTGTTCATGGTGAGCAGGGGCTCGGGGCTGGTGAGGCTGAGGGCACAGGTGCCCCGGAGGCATCCAAGAAGAGGATGTCAGGTGTGGGGTTCAGACCAGAGACACATTGAACTGAAGAGCCCTGGAGTGGCTGCCCAGCCTGGGGGGTCAGGAGGGCTTCCTGGAAGAGGGGGTATCCTGAGCCCTGGAAGAGGAGATCCCACCCAGGCTGCTAGAGGCTGGGGATCCCCAGCACACAGGCTCCAGGCTGGGCTGTCACCCTCATTCCACTCTCCTTGCATGGGGGCTTTCCTGCCAGAATTTCCCTGGAAGGAGATTCTCTAGAGCCCTTCCTGCTAGAGCCAGGGGTGCTGGTGAGGAGCACTGGGGTCTGCAGGCTGGGTGGACCCCAAGTTTAGTTGGATCCTGGGCAAATCACTTCCTTTCTTTAAACTCAGTTTCCCCTTTTGCCGGGCGCAGTGGCTCACGCCCGTAATCCCAGCACTTTGGGAGGCCGAAGCAGAAGGATCACGAGGTCAGGAGATGAGACCATCCTGGCTAACACGGTGAAACCCCGTCTCTACTAAAAATACAAAAAACTAGCTGGGCTTGGTGGTGGGCGCCTGTAGCCCCAGCTACTCGGGAAGCTGAGGCAGGAGAATCGCTTGAACCCGGGAAGTGGAGGTTGCAGTGAGCTGAGATTGCACCCCTGCACTCCAGCCTGGGTGACAGAGCAAGACTCTGTCTCAAAAAAAAAACAAAACAAAACTCAGTTTCCCTATTTTAAAATAGGAGGATGATACTTGTACCTTAAGGTGCTGGGAGGATTCACTGTGAACATGTGAGAAGCAGAGGGCAGACCATGGTGGCTGGTGAGCCAGGGCAGAGCCTCACACAAACTTTGACTTAGGTCTCATCATTTAAAAGTTTAGGCCAAGCGCATAACTCACATCTGTGATCCCAGCACTTTGGGAGGCTGAGGCAGGAGGATCACTGGAGGCCAGGAGCTTGATACCAGCCTGGACAACATAGCAAGACCCCATCTCTAAAAAAATTAAAGAATTAGCCAGGCATGGCAGTGTGTACCTATAGTTCCAGCTACTCGAGAGGCTGAGGTGGGAGGATCACTTGAGTCTGGAAGATTGAGGCTGCAGTGAGCTGAGATCATGCCACTGCAGTCAAACCTGGTGGACAGGGTGAGACCCTGTCCATTTTTTTTTTTTTTTTGAGACGGAGTCTCGCTCTGTCACCAGGCTGGAGTGCAGTGGCGCGATCTCGGCTCACTGCAGCCTCCTGGGTTCACAGGAGCGATTCTCCTGTCTCAGCCTCCTGAGAAGCAGGGAGCACCACCATACCCAGCTAATTTTTGTATTTTTAGTAGAGATGGGGTTTCACCATGTTGGCCAGGATGGTCTTGATCTCCTGACCTCGTGATTCGCCCTCCTCGGCCTCCCAAAGTGCTGGGATTACAGGCGAGAGCCAACGCACTAGGCCAGAGACCCTGTCCTTTAATAAAAATAAAGATAGCATTTCTGGCATGTCTTCAGAAACTGCCATGTGACCAGCATAAGGGGGAGCAGCAGCCAGGGCGACGTCTCCCACCCCCTCAGGCCGGGGGTCCACCGCGAAGTCCCCCTTCACCCGCTCCCGGACCTTGCCTGGCATTTGAGTGTCGAACCTTCTCATATTTTGCCCACAGGGCCCAAATCCTCACCATGTTAGGAGGTTTGGGGAAACTGAGGCCCCAGGAGCAGAAACCTGAGGCTGCAGAGGGCCAGGGACTTGTCCCCGGCTGCCTGGGGCTTCTAGACAGAGGCTGGAAGTATGTCGGGGCTCTCACTCTGGCCCAGAGAACTCAAGGGTAAACCCCTTGGTTCCTCTCTCCCTTTCCCACCCAGATCCGGACGCTGCGGCTGAAGATCTTGGCAGAGGCAGCGGCTGAGGGGGTCCCGGTGCGTGGGGCCCGGAACCAGCTGCGCATGTACCTGACCATGGCAGTGGCAGCGGCACAACCTCTGCTCATGTACTGGCTCACCTTCCACCTGGTGCGGTGAGCGGAGCCTCCCGCCGCCGCCGCCGCCGCCGCCGCCGCCGCCGCTGCTGCTGCTGCCGCTGCTGCTGCTGCTGCTGCTGGGAGCCACTGGACTCATCTCCTGCCTGCAGGCCCCAGGGGTCCACCCTGTCTGGCCACAGGCGACGCCTCCATCCCATGTCCCGCCCAGCCCCGCCCCCAACCCAAGGTGCTGAGAGATCTCCAGCTGCACAGGCCATCGCCCCAGGGCGTGGCCGCTGTTACAGAAACAATAAACCCTGATGGGCATGGCGTGGGCAGCCTCTCCTTGGCCGCGCGCAGGGATGGGCGGGCCCAGCCCTGGGCAGGAGGCAGGGAACTGGGGACGGACCGGAGCAGGCACTGCGCTGATCAGTCGCAGAAGGCAGAGAGGAAGGTTTAATGAGCCCTGTCCAGGGCCCTTCAATGAGGAGCCTCCTTCTTGCCCTTTTCCTTTTTCTTCTTCTTCACTTTGGGCTTCTTGGCCTTGCCGGGGGTGCTCTCGTGCTGCTTGGAGCCAGCGGTGTGGGGCTGTGGGACCGAGGGCAGGGATGGGAGAGAAGAGATGGTTCTGGGCTGGAAGGAGACAGAGGAACCGCCCCCTGCACCCTCCCCACCAGCCCCTGCGCTGGGACGCTTCTCTGCGGTGCAGGGCACGGGCCTGGGGACGCTGGCGAGAACCCCTTACCTTCACATCCGTGTCCGAGTCGCTGGAGCTGCTGCTGGAGTCGGAAGAGCTGTGGTGTCCTTGCTGGATGGAGGTGCAGCAGTGAGGCGGTGCCCCTTACCCAGCCCCCGAAGTTGGAAGCCCAAGGCAGGACCCTGGGGTCAGGGGCAACCCCACCCCTCCCGCCCGTCCGCAGCCGGTGATGAGGAGACTTACCTCTGGACCCGGACCTGCCCCCGCCTCCGACCGGCCCTGAACTTTGTGGGGACTGAGCTTGGGGTCTCCCCCATGGCCCGCCCCCACACCTGGCTTCTGGGAGGTTGGCTCCAGAGCTGTGGAGGGAAGTTGGGTGGTTGGTGCGGGCAGCTTCTGGGCTTGATTCCCGCCCCCTCCACCTCCAATCCACACTCCCCAGGAGCTCACCTGCTCCCAGGTCGAACTCCATGGTGAGAGATGTGTCCCAGGGCCAAGGGCTCCTGGGCCCTGCAGAGGAGTGGAGCAGTGGGAGGAGCGCTGAGACCTGCCCGTTGGAGGAATGCTGACACGCCCCACCCAACCTCTGTCCTGGTCCTCAGCCCTGACTGCGCGGCACCGCCCAGCATTTCCTCTGTGAGGAGTGAGAGAGATGGACAGTGATGGCCTCCCCCAGCCTTGGTGCCTGAGGGGAGGCCGACTGAGGGGGGCTCTGGGGATGGCATTCAGGGAGCTACATGTTTCCCCAAAAAGCTCAGATGCTGGTTCTTGAAGAGGGAGGTGCCCCCGCCTTCCTGCATACCGCCGCAATATGGCCTCCTCCGCCGTAGTTTCACACAGAGGGCGCTGCTGCCAGGGGCGTCCTGTGTTCTAACTCCCACAGCCCCTCCGGCTTGGTGAGCAGCATCTGAGGGGTGAGGGGCGTAGACTTGGAGCCAGCCTGCTGCACTAGATGCCAGCTGTGTCACTTAGTAGCAGGGTGACCTCAGGAAAGTTGCTTCACCTCCGTGCCTCAGTTTCCTCATCTGTAAATGACAGCTACCCATGGGATTGATGTGAGAGATGAGTTACTTTCCTAGAATGATGTCTGGCATGAAGTACTGATAATGTGTTGGGTTTTTTAAAAATAAAAGGTAGGTGTTTTAGGCCGGTCATGGTGGCTCACGCCTGTAATCCCAGCACTTTGGGAGGCAGAGGCAGGTAGATCACCTGAGGTCAGGAGTTCGAGACCAGCCTGACCAACATAGTGAAACCCTGTCTGTACTAAAAATAAAAAAATGAGCTGGGCACGGTGGTGCACGCCTGTAATCCCAGCTGCTCCGGAGGCTGAGGCACAAGAGTCACTTGAACCCGGGAGGCAGAGGTTTCAGTGAGCCAAGATTGCACCACTGCACTCCAGCCTGGGCGACACAGTGAGACTCCATCTCAAAAAAGAAAAAAGTATATAGATATAAAAGATAAGTGTCAAGTCAGGCATGGTGGCTCATGCCCAGCACTTTGGGAGGCCGAGGCAGGTAGATCACCCGAGGGGAGTTTGAGACCAGCCTGGCCAACATGGTGAAACCCGTCTCTACTAAAAATACAAAACTTAGCCAGGCATGGTGGCGGGTGCCTGTAATCCCAGCTACTTGGAGGCTGAGGCAGGAGAATCACTTCAGCCCGGAGGCAGAGGTTACAGTGAGCCGCGATTGTGCCATTGCACTCCAGCCTGGGTGGTAGAGCCAGGCTCCATCTCATAAAAAAAAAAAAAGAAGAAAAATGTCTTTATGAGTGTGGGCTGCTGTAACAAATATAGAGAGGGTGGCTTTAACAGGAAACACAGTTCTCACGGTCCTGGAGGCTGGAAGTCTGAGATGGGGGTGTTGGTAGATCCGGTGTCAGAAGCGCCGCTTCCTGGCTCATTGACAGCCGCCCTGCCTCCCCGCATGGCTGAGAGCAAGATCATCTCACGTTGTGTCCCTTTCTATAAGGGCACAAATCCCGTTCATGAAGGCTCCTCCCGCATCACCTGGTGACCTCCCAGAGGTCCTACCTTCAAATACCATCACTCGGCTTCAGCACAGGAGTTTGGGGAAAACACAAACATTCAGTCTATGACAGTAGGTACTGTTCCAACCCCTACTTCACAGATGAGGAAACTGAGGGATTAGGTAAGAAGACGAAGGGTAAACATAGAGCATGGGCTGGGTGCAGTGGTTCATGCCTGTAATCCCAGCACTTTGGGAGGGAAGCAAGGCAGGAGGATCACTTGAGTTGAAGAGTTTGAGATCAGCCTGGGTAACATACTGAGACCATCTCTACATGAAATTAAAACTTAGACAGGCATGGTGGCACTCACCTGTAGTCCCAGCTACTCAGGAGGCTGAGACAGGAGAATCACTTGAGCCCGGGAAGTCCAAGCTGCAGTAAGCTGTGATCGAGCCACTGCACTCCAGCCTGGTTGACAGAGCAAGACCCTGTCTCAAAACACACACACAGGCCAGGCACAGTGGCTCACACCTGTAATCCCAGCACTTTGGGAGGCCATGGCGGGAGGATCACTTGTGGTCAGGAGTTCAAGACCAGCCTGGCCAATGTGGTGAAAAATATAAAAAATCACTGAGTATCGTGGCGCACGCCTGTAATCCCAGCTACTCGGGAGGCTGAGGCTTGAGAATTGCTTGAACCCAGGAGGCGGTGGTTGCAGTGAGCTGAGACTGCATCACTGCACTCCAGCCTGGGTAACAGAGCAAGACTCCGACACACACACATACACACACACACACACACACACACGTAGTCTAGTTCTAGTCTGTTCATGCTATATATATAGTTCAAACGCAGGCAGTGTAGCTTGATTCCAATGCTTGGCTTGGCCCCTCTGTCTCACCCTCTTGGGAGCTCTCAGAGGAATGAGCAGCCAGCTGGGCCCAGTTTTCCCTCCCCCGGGCTGGGCTCAGGTCAGGTTAGGGTAGAAACTGGAGCCTGAGCCATCTGCTCCTACCTCTGTGAGGTGAGATATCCTTGGCGTCCCTCTCCAACCCAGCCCTGCTCCCAGCAACTGGGCTGCCTGCATCTACAGGGAGTGGGCATCTAGGAGCAGGTGGCTGAGGCCTGGGCATGGTAATGAGCATGCAGCTCATGCCCTTGTATACTCAGGTGTCTGCTCACATGTCCATTCCTTAGAGGCGCCTGGCTCGGCTTCCAGCAACTCAGAGTGGCAATGCTCCATCCCGTTTCCCCAGCTTGAAGTCCAGCATAGCCCATGCCTGCCACCATCTGCAGTTACCTTTCTTCACATTCACTTCTTCGGCATGTATTTTTTGAGCACCTACTATGTCTCCAGCACACTTCAAGACCTGAGGGTGGCCAGGCACAGTGGCACATGCTTGTAATCCCAGCACTTTGGGAGGCTGAGGAGGTTGGATGGCTTGAGCTCAGGAGTTTGAGACCAGCCTGGGCCACGTGGCGAAACCCCATCTCTATTAAAAAAAAAAAAATTGTTAAAGGAGGACCTGAAAATAAATAAATACAAATTAATTAATTTTTTTAAAAAGGCGGTCAGGTGCAGTGGCTCATGCCTGTAATCCCAGCACTTTGGGAGTCTGAGGCAGGCGGATCACCTGAGGTTAGGAGTTCCAGACCAGCCTGGCCAACATGGTCAAACCCCATCTCTACTAAAAAAATACAAAAATTAGCTGGGCATGGTGGTGGGCGCCTGTAATCCCAGCTACTTGGGAGGCTGAGGCAGGAGAATCGTTTGAATCCGGGAAGCGGAGGTTGCAGTGAGTCGAGACGGTGCCATTGCACTCCAGCCTGGGCGACAGGGCGAGAATCAAAAAAAAAAAAAAGAAAAAAGGCCGGGCGCGGTGGCTCAGGACTGTAACCCCAGCACTTTGGGAGGCCGAGACGGGTGGATCATGAGGTCAGGAGATCGAGACCATCCTGGCTAACACGGTGAAACCCGTGTCTACTAAAAATACAAAAAACTAGCCGGGCGAGGTGGCGGGCGCCTGTAGTCCCAGCTACTGGGGAGACTGACGCAGGAGAATGACGTAAACCCGGGAGGCGGAGCTTGCAGTGAGCTGACATTTGGCCACTGCACTCCAGCCTGGGCGACAAAGCGAGACTCCGTCTCAAAAAAAAAAAAAAAAGACCTGAAGACAAGCAGGCAAGCCACGCAAGCATATAGAGGAAGAGGGAAGAGCAAATGCAAAGGCCCCTGAGGCAGGAATGTGCCTGTGTCTGAGGAGCTGCGCTGCGGTCAGAGTGGCAGAGAGAGTGGGAGAGGCGGGTGGCGGGCATGAACTTGTAAATCAAAGACCCTTGCTCTTTACCCTGAGTGTGACTGGGAGGTGAGCAATGATTGTGGCTTTGCCTGCAACTGGACACGGGATATGAGAGAAAGTGTCTGTCTCTCGAGGCAGAGCGCGCATTCCATGAGGGTGAGAACTCCCGCTTTGTGCACCACCCAGAACGGTGTGACTCAGAGAGGCTGCTTGCCATGCCTTAGTGAATGGGTGGCATCGCCTGCTGCCAGGTACTGTGCTAAGGGCGAGTCACCACCGGCACAGAAGGGCTGCAGGTTTGGGTCCTGGAGGTCAGTCACTACACTTACTGTTCTGTGGACAAATCAGTTAGCCACTGTGGATTTCTGTTTCCTTCTCTGTAAAAAAGAAAACTTACCTAGGAAATGGTTTTGCACAGAGCCTGCCTGGCACAAGTTCAACTGATGCTCAATCGATGTTCGTTTTTGTTTTCTTCTTTTTTTTTTGAGACTGAGTCTTGCTCTGTCGCCAGGCTGGAGTGCAGTGGCGCGATCTCGGCTCACTGCAATGCAACCTCCAACTCCCTGGTTCAAGTGATTCTCCTGCCTCAGCCTCCTGAGTAGCTGGGATTACAGGCACACGCCACCATGCCCAGATAATTTTTTGTATTTTTAGTAGAGACGGGGTTTCCCCATGTTGGCCAGGATGGTCTCGATCTCCTGACCTCGTGATCCGCCCACCTTGGCCTCCGAAAATGCTGGGATTACAGGTGTGAGCCACTGCGCCCAGCCATTTTTTTTTTTTTTTTTTGAGGCAGGGTCTTGCTCTGTCACCCAGGCTGGAGTGCAGTGGTATGATCATAGCTCACTGCAGCCTCGACCTCCTGGGCTCAAGGGATCCTCCCACCTCAGCCTCCTGAGTAGCTGGGACTACAGCCATGCACCACTATGCTTGGCTCATACAAAAAATTATTTTTGGGCTGGGCGTGGTGGTTCACACCTGTTATCCCAGCACTTCGGGAGGCTGAGGTGGGTGGATCACCTGAGGTCAGGAGTTCGAGACCAGCCTGACCAACATGGTGAAATCCCGTCTCTATTAAAAATACAAAAATTAGCCAGGCCATAGTGGCGCGTGTCTGTAATCCCAGCTACTAGGGAGGCTGAGGCAGGAGAATTGCTTGAGCCTGGGAGGTGAAGGTTGTGATGAGCCAAGATTGTGCCACTGCACTCCAGTCTGGATGACAGGGTGAGACCCCATCTCAAAAAGAAAAAAAATAAATAAATACATATATATATTTTACAGATGGGGTCTCACT